AGTTATTTTTAACCGCCGTTATACAGTTAGCCGATTCGATTAACGGTTCACCTATCGAAATATCGTGTAATTCACGGATGACGAAATTATTGACCCTCAGTGTCTATGATGTCGACCTGATGTTCTTAATTTATTAAGTCGATAAACTCGCTTTCAAAATTCAAGAATAATAAAAAAAGGATATTTGCCAAATGAGAGAGAGAGAGAGAGAGAGAGAGAGACAATGTATAATTATAAAGGACAGAAAGGTTTTATAACAATTATCGTTTGCGTTAACTTCTTTCATCTTTCAGTATCACTTAAAGTCATATTCATGAAGTTTCATGAATCATATTGACCTCTTTACTTTTAAATTTTCTTTTCTATACCGTACATCATTTTTCCAGTCAACTCCATTTCTATCATTTCGAAAATGTCGAGCCTATCGAAAAACTGAGTGATTGTGAAAAAATTGTGTAACAATTGTAAAGATTTATTACGTAACTTTCGCAGTTATTTATATACTACGCGTTTAGAAAAAAAAAAGAATGTGCTGTACGATGTGACTGACGGATTTATAGCTCGATTGGGATACCTAATCTGTTCACATGTATCACGAGTACAATATTGTTTGGTTTAACGTCGTACACGCCCGAATTCTCTCAGATTCTTTACAGTGTCGTGCGATACGGTTCGCCCATTTATTTTGATATCAAGTTTCTCGCCGGAGACTTCCCACAGAGAAACTGCTATAGAAACGATGCAACCGTTTTATCGCATTCGAATCTCGATTGCTTAAAGCCGCTAACGTAGTTACGTATTTTACGACGCGGAAAGAAATAACGACGCCAGGGCGTGTCGGATTCGTGCCTCACTTTTACTACTGACCGCCACTATTTTTTTTATTCCCTGCCGCATTTTCCGATATCCTACAAACGATCACGATCATGATACAATGTAAACAGCAAAATGTAAAAGCTTCACATACCTTTTTTTTTTTTTTTGCTTTTACAAAGTCGGTGTATTTTATATTACTAATGTACTTTGATTTTACACACATTTATACATATAATATGTATATGTAAAATTGACAAATTAAATTTTTATTTATTATTTATTAAACTATTTTTTTAAATTTTGCAAATTCCTAACTTTTTAAACAAACAATTTTTTTAATTGCGAGGAATAACGACTTTGAGTTGATCAAAACACAGCCAAATCCTGATACTTGATTTTTTGACGTTAACCATTCGATTGCTATATGGGATTTCCGTACAATGAAACTCGCATACGTTCTCTTTCGCACTCTTTTTGCTTGAAAATTCGAAACAATTTTTTCATATTTCAAATAGTTTCAGGAATATTCACCTATTATATTGATATTTTCTTCGCTTGTGTAAAAAAAAGTATTCTATTATTCAACGTGGAAATTTTTCTAAAAGATGTAATATCGACACATTACTCCATTTTTACAACACTATTCTATATTGCATACGTAGAATCGAATATCAAATTGCCACGAGCTGGAAATTTGTATTACGCCATCGTTCCAAGTGACTTTTAAATTTCACTTCAAATGTGCATAAGTTATCCCTTTCATAGTGACGTTTAAAAGAACCGTATAAAAATCAAAGACAAACGTGTGTTGCGTAAAATAAATTTTCGTAGATTCGTATCATTGCAGTTCTCGTCTCGTAAACTAATTGTAAGATGCAGCGAAACAGACGTGAAGCGATTGCAGAATGTAGAATCAATTTCCTCGACAAGATGCCGCTTTTATTTTTCCACATAATTATATCGATACGCGCGAGCCAATATTGAGAGTCAAAAGTGAAAGCCGATCTACTTTTCGATCCAAGTTTCGAACTCGCAAATGCTATCGATATATTCGAATGCAGAAGCTGAATACGGATGCCGGCTACCGTAACCTGTGTGCCGCGAGATTGAATTATTTTTCTCTCGGAATAATTTCGCCATAAAATAAGACCAGCACAAGTGTGCATGCGCGCAGCTTCACACACACATATACACACATACACATACACAAATACGCCCATCGCTCGTAGTATCATCCTTCTCGAGAGAAGCGATCTCTGCAGCTCTCTCTTCCTCTCTCTTTCGATCTCAATCTTTCATTCTTGCTTCTTGCAAGTAACTTTTCTCTCTTTCTCTCTTTCTTTTCCCCTTTATCTCCTCCTTTTTCATCCCCGCAGACGAGACCACTCGAGGCGGGTAACATCACTATTTTCCCCCACGTCTCCTTATATTACATTCTAGATACGACCGCGGGGATGATAGCAGTGGAAGCTGAAAATTCCTTTCCGCTCCTGTTTCTGTCAGTGAATATCTTATCATAATATCGTGCTACCGATACTCTGTGCTTCCAAAGATCGCGCCGGATCTTTGTGGGAAGTAAGTCAACCCGCAACTCCGCGATGCATCTAACTCTTTGGGCTTTTGTCTCGTCGCCGTCCGTTCGACTTTGCTACGCATGAAATAGCCGCACAAAGATTCAAATATCGAGTTTCGACATATCTCGGAATATTTGCGGCAATGTCGCATCTTCGGTTTGGCCGACCGACGAATTTTCTAGTCGCGACTTCCGTTCAATGCAGCCGCGACGCATCGGGACAAAATGCCGCCGGATGCTGCGCGCCCGATGCATCGACCAGAAGCATGACTCGGCGATGAGACTCGGTATATTTGCAAACTTTGACTTCGCGCGTGTTTCAATATCGCGTCACGTGCTCCGTGCGCGAAGCAAAGCCGAAATGTTGTTTGTTTAAACTTTTCGTTTTTTCTCCGGATCTCACGTCTCCACCGTGTTACTATACACCGGCGAGAAACCCTGGCTTTTCGTTTATAAAAATGTGTAGCGCCTCGTAATCTTGCAACTTCGACTTGCGCTTTTTTTCCCCGTATATTCGCAGCACCATATTTGCCGTATTCGCCCGATTTTACGCTGCCGGTCAGGTGGAAAGAATCGCCGGTGCTTTCGTAAAATAAAGCCAGTGCATTGTTCTCGAGAGCAGGAAGGATGAATCAAGAGAGATGAATCTCTAGATTCTTTTATTACAGGAAAATTGGAGAACTCGGGAGATCAATTACGTAATATTTCTCTCAAGATAGAACGATGATAAGAGCAAAAATCTCTACGTGAACTTGTGCTTGAAAAAAAAATCACATATGTCTTTTCAACGTTAAACAATGAGATTCCGCAAGAGATGACATTTACGCGAGATTTTACACATCCGAAAGTGGAAGAGGCGAGTTTACTAACAGTTATATGATTTTACCCACCAGATGTGACAGTTAAAGTTCTCAGATCTTAATGAATTGTAATCGGAAATTAAATGACGCTTTTGTAATATGATATCGCGCAAATTTTCACTAGGCGATTCTAATACCTTTGATAAATGTGTGTAATTCCTTTCGTTATCTTCACGCTCCGATTTACGTACAATATACGAAGCACATTGTAAGCTATGATATGTTCGCACCGCTTTGTATAAGGCATTTGCATTATATGCACATACGCGAGCGCGCGTGAGCTTTTATTGTAAGCTACAGAGTGTGTTCACGAAACCCACGAACGAGATATTCACAATATATTTTAGATTAACGCTATTGTCAGGAAGAATTCATCAACGTCTCTCCATAGTTGGCGTTTTTTGATGAATATTCATTATTATAATATATTTATATCGCGGTCTTGTAATACACGTTCCACAATTCTTTCTTATATATTCACAATTAATTGTTGATCGCCAGTGATAAAATTTTAACAAATAATAAGATGCAATTTAATTCGACCAAAATCTAGAAAATAAGTACAATTGTGTGTACTTATTTTCAATAAATAAATAGCCAGTTCTTGGTCGAATTAAATTGCATCTTTCTTATATGTATGGAACAACTCGGCGCATCACCATCTATGTCAACGAGCTGCGATGTGGAAGCTTGACAGGAAATTAAAACTATATCTCACCGTTCGAAATATGGTATTATACGCGTCAACAAGCCGTTAATCGTCGCTATTGCACCGTCACGTGCATTTTAACGAGAGTAACGAATCATGAACATCGAAGCGATGCGTTCGTCTCGAGTGGCATAAATATATGTCAAAACAATGTTATATACGCGCAAACTTTCGTATATAATATTATTTATACGAGACCAAAAAAAAAATATTTATTTAATTGAAACATTATTTTACGTTACGCGGAATATAGTATAAGTTTGGACTGGCAATGTTAGTTTTTATAATCTTGACGTGACATATAGCTTCTATCATCGAAGTATCAATAAATGCATCACACAATATTTATTTTAATTATCACGCACAGAAATATTGTTGCGCAACACGATAAGCAATAATTAACGATAATTATAATTTACGATATTTGTAATTCAAACAACCCGAATATTTTATAAATAACGATATTTATTTTTTTCGTATGGGATTTCCAAATGTGTTGTTTAACTTGACATTTTCAATCTGAGCATCGATATTATATATCTATATTGTGTTATATTTCGCTTATCGTGTAGCGAACATTTTCGATAAAATATTCAGCGAATGAACAACTCCCCATATAATGTTGTTAATTACGAATTTAATTTTTGTACTCTGTTCACAAGTAATTGAAGGGACAAAATTTTTTAATACGACATTTTATGACCAACAATAAATATCAAAAAAACGTCAAATGTGATAATCTGCCTGAAATATTTTGCTAAAAAATTGCTCTGCACCTGTCACAAAGAATGTCATTAAAATTACGCTCGCAAGAGTTCCAGCAAGTTCTGCATAACACAGCTTAACTTTTATCCGGGCAATCTATTTCGAAACGTAAATGAGAGCAGCATTATTCCTCTCTTCTAGAATTTTGTTGAAAAAAGTTTCGATTGAATTTTTATAAGGTATCACAAAAGAGTCACGTTGCGCGGATAAAAAAATCTCACCAAATTCACTTGAGTTTAATTCAAAGCAATAACGCGAGGCTTCTTTCGGTTCACAGATGTGCCGAGCTTTTCCGAGCCGATCGGCAATGTGACCGCCGCCATCGGCAAAGAAGTCGCCCTCTCCTGTACCATCAGGAAAGTGGGAAATTACAAGGTAAGCAGCCGGTGGAATTTTCAACGGCAAGAAACAGCGCGGCGGCGCGATGCCGCGTCGTTCGCGAGAGAGCAAGCATCGGGGCGCTAATTAGAGCCAGCTCGGAGAACGCATAAGCGCGCGCGTTGCCAGAGCGATAAGGGAATCTGAAATTCGGGTAATCCCACGGAAATAAATGGGTCGCTCCGGGCTGGCTCTGGCAGATGTCAGCGTATCGGTGTCTTTTTGCGAGCTCTCTCTCCGCTCTCGCCGTTTCCTGTATTTTTCCGGGTGTGAATCGCGGGCGTGAGTTTTCCGCTCGAAATAAGTCGAGACAATGCACCTCGGGGTCGTTAAACGAAGAGGAAACCCATTATGTGTACGCCGATTCTTATTAGAATAACTGCGCGGGCAAATGACTGGAACGCGAAAGTTTTATTTAATATTTTGTATGCATTAAATATGAAAATAAGAGCTTTATATAATATATAATTTAAGCACATACGAGAAATTCAATAATGCTCGGCTTATCTCAGGATAAGTTTTCCTTGCTCGTATCTGGAGATTAAGTTGCCTCGGGTTAGTAAGATAAGTAGCTAATATCGAGCATGGAAACAATTTTATGCATTTCACGTTGAGTCTCCTCCCCAGTATAATACTCGAAAAATAAAAAGAGAGCGAAGAACAACACAAAGCACCCGATGCGATTCGCGCAATATGTTCGGCACGGCAATTTACAATGCAAATGGAAAATATAGCGTATATATTCAATAAGCCATGCGTAAACGCCTGCTAGTGGCACATATAAATGTTTATTTTTCGGGGAGTATCGAAATTGCCATTTTGTCCTCTAGCTTTTCGCTATCGAACGTAGCATTCGGCGCGCTTATAATGTATATTCAAATCGATTAATTATAGAGCTTAAAGTCAAGCCACAAGCGCGCGAACGAATCATACGATATATGATTCGTCGAACTTTCATGAACATAGCGCTGGCGATTTTTCCCTGGGATAAAGCTTTGACGTGAGATTAAACGCATTAAAGCTCGCGTGCGCGTCAACGCATCACCATTATTTTGTGTTATTTTAGCCACAGCGCTTTTAACGCATAACCCACCACATACGTGACCGCCTTGTAAAATAAAATTCGATAACCACAAATTTGTATGCTGCCGAATCGAGCTTGTCGATCTATATAATCGGAATATATATGTCTCTTTCTCAATTGATCGTTAATTATAGCGATGTTGCGAAAAAATTACAGATTTTACAGAAAAGTTATATTACCGTTCGAATATTGAATGAAAAATAAAGTATGTAATAATGGCAAAACAGCGGATCGAATAAAATATGAAAATAAAATTTATTTAAAATACATGCACAGAAACAAATAATCCCAACTACATTAATTAAAAATAAAAGCAGCACTTGAAAGAGCCCGTAGAAAAATATAAAGAATATAATATTATAAAATATAAAATACATAATTAATAAAATCTTATTAAATAAAAATCAGATCTTCTATGTATATGTGATAAATATATTAATTTAATAAAAAATAAGGCGTATATATTTATATATATAAAATATAGATTTATATGAATCATAAGAAATATGTGGAGAACATTAAATTTACATGAAAATAAAATAATATATGTATAATGATTTAAAAATATAAATTAATTAATAAAATTATGTTTTCTTTTCTCTTTTCAAATTGATATACATATATTCACAAATATAAAATAACATAAGATCATAAAGAAATAAAACAAATATAACTACATTTCAACTGAAATAAATATGAAACACTTTGTTTTCTTTATCGTTCCGCGTAAATACAAAAAAAATAACAAGAGAAAAAAATAAAAAGTTCTAATGATCATCAAATGTAACGATTCAAATTTTTCAATCTTTACAAAAAAACATATCGGTTATTTTATTTCGCGATTACCCAGAAGAAGTTAACAGGTCGCATTTCCGTATATTTTACGAACTTTTCTTGTTAGATAACATTTCGCATCTCTAGACAGTCGAATCGCATCTAAGTAGCTTAATTAAATGTTTGGCATAATACTCCAATACTCTGACTCTCGCAATACTACCGTGGCGTTAATGTTCAGCCAGCATAATTATCCTGTTTAATTTATTCTACGGCATCTTGTAGTTTACGTTCCAGTAATTCATTCGAGGTATGAGATATGTATGCGGATAAACAGCAATATGCCTTCACGATGCGAAATCGCAAATTTTCTCATGCGCGAATTATACGGGCCATATATTTCTATTATTTTCTTTTTTTTACCTATGTAATTTTACACGGACACAACAAAATCGAATACACTTCGCGGTTGGTCCAAAAACACTCTGGGCAATGGCTGTTTGCCGTTCGGCATACACGCGCGGCTAATACTTTTTTATACGTCCGCGCGTGTACGTGCACTATTTTTATTCACTTCACCGTATCCCAGAACTATGGCCCGTCGGCAAACAGACTCGCATATTTGTACACCACGGATAGACAGCAATAAAAGCGCTTTATGCATGTGTTTTCTCCAGTTACAAAGAAATGTTGCAATAATGGAATATCTTTTAGCGAACTATGTAAGCTTGATGCTTCTTATTAAGGTAAAATTCCATATTTTTGCTATATTTTCTACATGCAAAACATCATAAAAAAATTAAGTCTTTTTCACTACAATCGTGCATCGTTTGAAATTTATCTATTAAAAGAAGAAAAATGTATGTCAATCTAAAAAAAAAAAAAAAATAAGAATTTTCAAAGGAAAAAATGTATTATCAAATCTATGTATATATTTTTCAATTAATATCAATATAATTTGAAAAATATATATGCTATCATATTCATATTTTTATATTTATTATTAAATATTTTATTATATTATATGAGTTATATATATTAATAATAGCCAAATTAAACCATGCATATGACGGGAAAGACTCAAAAATTTAATATCTCAAAATAAATTTAAATCATCATCATGCAAATTGCGGCAAAAAATTGCTGTCTCCGAAATGGTGCGAAAAATGAACGAAATGGTTATTTATCGCAAGCGCATTTATATTCATCGCAAGAAACATATGCATCCGCGACCGAGAACTTAACGTCCATTATAAACCAAAGTTTCAAGGTATGTAACTCATACTGACGTATAACGACTTTGCCGCTAACACGTCGCTAATTAAGACTTCGTGGCACTTTATTCTCATGTGAACTTAACATCTTAGTGTCAAAAATACCAAGTCAAATATATATATATATATGTGCATTTCTCTCAAACGTAGAATAAAGTTATCAAACTCGTCAGTGAAAAAAAAACTACCTCACATTTTCTACAAAGTATCCCTCACATTGATTAGAGATTGCGAAATTTTGACAAATTATAATTTCTCAATGTTATAAATAAACTTTTATTTGTAGAAATACTACGAGAAACGTAGTATTTTTTATTTATATCAACCAAAATAAGTATATTCTTTTATACAGATTAAGTTTCAATATACAATAGTTATTATATATCTCTCCTAAAATTACATTCATTTTACAATTATACACAAACTGTATATGTAGCTCATTCAATAAACTTCTGAAGCTTATATGTTGTTAAAGAAAATTTAATTTAGTAATATTTGTGTGTATGTGTACACTAGTTCATTTAAATATACATTCCTCCTAAAATGGCACGATTCAGTAGTCAAGCTCGAAAATGATCAGACAGAATATATAATTTTCGATTTAGTAAATATTCCTCATTTTCATTGCATTAATATTTTAATGCAAACATCAGTGCTAAGTTTCTGCAGATATACAGAAGGATTTCTCTTACGAAATATTTTAGATTATAATCAAGATTTATTAAGGGTTTACGATAATTGCAAACGTATTAGAACTAATTATGTAATATGTTTAATAAAAATTTATTTTAAAAGATATAAGAAGAGAGAAAAAGAGAAAGAAATCAAAAACAAAAAACTATATGTAACGAGAAAAGTATAAATATATACATGTTGTATAATAATCCATAACGCGATTAAAGTATTATACAGTGATTGCAAACCTAAAACTTGTAAAATACTTTGCATAAACGAAACAATTTTGTATATTCACTATTCGATGGTAGCTAACCGGGTATATCTTGATCAAAGTTTTGTTCACTGAACATCGTTAACTAGCAAAGAAAAACGAGAATCGATTCTGAAAAAGCGATCATAATGAATGAAAGGAAACGGAAGCAGCTACCGTCACTGACACAAAAGTACGCTTCTAAAAGTGTGCAATTTTCAAGAGATTATAAAACGCCTTTCGCGACAAGTAGATAAAAATTCACGCGTACACATACATACATAAACATACACACACCTACACACATACAGATGTACGCACACCGATCTACGCTTTAACAGCAGCTCTTTCAGCGCTTTATCTTCGCGGAGTTCCTCAGTGTTTTCTTACTATTCTTGTGCTCGTCTCGACCGATCTTTCTAAAGCCTTCCACCTAAACGAAAAAAAGGCACCGGCAAGCTTGAAGCTTTTAGTATCCGCGGCACCTTTTCAAGGGAATAAAACGAGGCAAATCGCTGAGATGCAGCGCGGCAGATTGGTGTCTCTACCTCTTTTCCCCTGTCGACGCGGAAGACGGATCAAGAAAAAAATGGACGGAGATATCTTCTGTGAAAAGTACGTGACGGCTACGATCTCTTAAACGTTCTCATTTGCACCATCGCGAAAGTCGAAACGCGCGCTCGAAAGAAATCAAAGCGTGTCTCTCGCATTCTAGCGCGAAGGGAGCATTAAACATGAAGTAGAATACTTTCGCGTTGTTCCTTCTATACTTTTTCCTTTACTCTTGCGTTGGAGAATGCAAGCCAAAATTTCTATAAATTTTCCTAGTTTTTAATATGCGAATGCTAAAGAGCATCTTGAGAATAATAGACTTTTTAACTTGTCACATAAATGGCAGTCAGATTAATATCGTTGCTTCATTTTACTGTTATTTATT